CAACTTAAGAAATGATCATTTAAAATTTTTTATTAAAAGTATATAGAAATGATAGAAAGCTATATAAAGCGAAATAGAAGGGATGCTGAAAAGATCTGAGTCCCACCAGGAAGCTCCTAATCTTAAAATCTGAAGTTTGATAATTTGGTCATAATCTGACCGAGAACTTTCAACAGGTGCCGAACGATCGAAAAGCACACCGGTCTATACGGTGGTTTACTTTATATAAGGGGTTGTAGGTTAAAGATCTGTCGAAGGGTACATTTACGTTATTAAAAACTCGAAAACCCGATCGGTAGATGCCAGTTAATCTGTTTAAAAACAGACATGTCTACTGAAACACGTGTATCCAATAGAATATGAAGCTTGCAGTAATATATATATATATATATATATATATATATATATATATATATATATATGCAATTTCTTAAGAAAGAAATAATGGATATATTTTAATACGCCATATTTTTATTTTTATTAATTCAGATGTTATATTTCGTGGATACCAGCATATGAGTCGACGCTCCATTTTTTAAAGTGTGTTTATTTCGTCTACCGGCATGCAGACTCGAGAAAATTTTATAACGAGAATGCGGAGGACACATTTTTACTAAGTTTTTTTGAGTACGTAGGAAGGTAGACGTAATAAACGCTCTGTGAGAAAAGGAGCGTTTACTCACATACTGGTATCCACTAAAATAACATTTGATATAATATATATATATATATATATATATATATATATATATATATATATATATATATATATATATAAAGATACACTTATGTAATACTTTGTGTAAAGTTGTGTAAATAGATTACGAGTACAGACGCACTAATATATATATATATATATATATATATATATATATGAGCGTACTTAGATCACTCTAATTGTAAATGTTCATAATAAAACGTATCAGTGGGAATTGTGATACACATATCTTAGTTACACATAGAAAGTAGATGGTAAAAATGAATATATGTGCAGAATCCGCACACACGCATACACACGCGTACGAGGGCATGCTGAAAATTCTCGTCCTGACCCAGAAAAAATGCTCACATACATACATACACACACACACTTAAACCAAAAACATAGGAAATACATATATATATATATATATATATATATATATATATATATATATATAATGAAAATAGAAAGTGGGCGTTCTGTGTGAGTCAGTTTTAACATTTAATATTTAGAATTCTATATTGTGTTAATAGTACTCACTTGGATTACTACCTACATATATATATATATATATATATATATAGAGAGAGAGAGAGAGAGAGAGAGAGAGCAGGAGAGGGTGAAGGAACAGAAGAGAGAAAGAGGAGAAAATGTTAAAGTCAAATGTACACAAATTGATAGATGGATGCATAGTTAAACGCATTTATATCAGGAGATGTAACATTATCAGTCGATATCACACTAAGTGAATTGGATCAACTTTGATAGACTCGTTCGCAGCGGTGAATAAGAATGCGTATCAACAGTTGCAAGTTTTCAAAGTAAAACAGAGAGACTTGTGTAAGAAAGTTGAAACTTACCACAGGTGTTTCGTCTGCCGCTGATTTCGGGGCTGTCATCACGTAGCTGACCCCTAAAAGAAGAACCAAAACGTGCGAAAAAGCCATAGTGATTTCTCGTCTCCAGATACCTGTTTTTTCTTTCCTTGTTAAAAGCAGCTAAAAGTTCTCTTGTTAAGAAAAAAATCGGTAGCGTATGTTTGGAGTGTGTTCCTCTACCAAATCAATGTTCAAACCCTAAACAATGTAATACACAATCAATAATGTTTGTTTACAGGGAATGGGGCAAATAAAGGATAAATGTTTATGTTAAGAGAGGTACTTTATACTTGGATGTAATTGTGGCCACGCGTATAATTGACTGTATATTTGTGTTATTATATAGTCTTTCTTTTCTGAAATCTTTTCTCGTAATGCACGCTAAAATTTTTTTGTGGTGGGGATTGTAGCGTGCGCTAGATTATTTACTTTCGTCACTCACTTTTGTTGCTTTTTTTTTTTTTAAAAAAAAAAAACAAACTTATATATCAGCCCCAGTTCGTCAGTCTGTTTTCCTTCGCTGAGTATATAACGTGCCGGGATTGCTCGTTCCTATTTATACTAAACTCTATGGGCAGGGCTGGTTGATGTCGGAGGTGTAGAAAACGTTAGCCGTTTTCAAAGGCGTGGGCGGTGGTGAGATCTTTACGCGTGGGGGGAGGGGCAGCAGTGTCATCCCTCTTCAAGCATCACACCTCTCTCCACACATGTCAACTCTCCGCTTGTGTGCGGCTCATGCTCTCCTCATTGTAACTCTCCGCGCGTTCTTACTCTCCTTCTGTGCGGTAATTTTTACTTTGTCTTGCGTTTCTCTTTCTTGCTTTCTCCTTCGTACTTCAGCCAGCTACGCTAAAACCACCGTTTTCCCGCGTTGGCTGCCTCCCCCGTATACGCCTCTCTTGCTAAATTATTCGATCTC